GTTCAACTACATCTTTTCCTTTCTAATATTAAATTATAATCCCACCTACACACACTGACATACCAAATGACATTAGACACCTTTATGGAAAGCTAATTTATAGCTGTTTTTCAGTGGATTTTCCTAAACACGCTCTGCATCGAGCGCAAAAGTTGAAGAACCTCACAACCCCCACATAAGTTCTATTTTCCGGCAGGGTACTTGCTGAATCAAGTATATACCCGACCTCAAGTGCAAGACACACTCACATCTCTCCATTAGTTTCCTGTGATTTTCTTGTCTCCTATACCATTTAGATGCAGTATTAAATAACTCAATAATAGTTGATATATCGTTACATTAACAAGGGTAACGTATATCATTTGTGTTCTAAAATCTGCCCATCAGAAGACGACTTTAATTATCGGAGGTCAGAATGGGCATTCGATATCTACGTTGTGTCCGAGAATATTTAATGGACGGCAATACCACCCATCGTGGACAGAGCAGTGACCGACCAAAGTTCCATAATGGTCATGATCCAAGTGATCTTCTTGGAATTATTAGAGACAGCAGTGGTCCCCAACCTTTTTTGCCACACGGACTGGTGTCAGATGAGACAATTTTTCCGTGAACGTGGATGCTAGGCTCTATCGGTCACGCGCATAACAAAACACCATTATCAATACCACAACAGTCAATAAAATGGGGAAAAATGTGTTTATTTATTTTGTACGGCCTGGTGCCAAAAGGTCTACGCCCCGGTACCAGTCCGCGGCGCAGTACAAAATGTTCTACGCCCTTGTAACCAGTCCTCTGCCTGGAACCAAAAGGTCTACCGATCCGCGGCCTGGTTTTTTGGGACAGGTGCTCTACAGGATACACATGTCAGCACCAAGATGCTTGATACAACGACTAACTTTCACTGCTGGTGTCGTAAATGTTAACCTGTAAGATTAAAAACATCTGGCATGCCTTGAAGATTCATAGTCCTAAATAGTTTGTGCTGAGTTTTAAAAAGATAATGGTCATTCTTTAAAAGGCACGTGAGTCTCTCAAAATAGAGGATTCATATAAATGGTAAGATTACTAATTGCAGTTTATGAGGATATGTGGGGAAGATGACGGTTAGCTCTAGATTTGAAGAGGTAAAGATTGTAATGTTCGGGAGAGCATTCACGTGGGAGCCGATTCTGTAAAGTAGCTGTTCTTTAAAAGAAGCTATTCGAGTGCTGTTACCTCAGACATCATGAAGCTGTGGACCACAATTATCACCAAGACAACTCATAGGCTGATGGTAGTTCTGTCTGGCAGTGGTAATGTATCCTAGGCTAGCTCGTCTTGTCCGCTTAAAATCACGACTGGCTGATGACCGCTACATTGAACTGCTTCGGTAACGTCTGTATTTGTTTTTTGAACTCTCTGTAGCCGCATGATCACCGAAATTAATTTGTACAACCTCTGAAGTTCACCTAAGTCGAGCTTAGTTAATACCTTGATGGGTGACGCTGGAATACCAGGTGCCGTAATCTTGGATATACGTAAGGTGCAGTAGATAACGACTCGGAGTTGGAAATCGGAGAGCCGAGTTCGAATTCTAGTCGGGTTCGTTATAGTTACTGATGGTCAACATAGGGAAAGGCATGAATCCACCTCTTTTCCCTCCAGCTATGGGTCAATTCCTAGGACTTGTATCCGTTTATCATTATTATCTCCATAAAATTCTTACGATTTAAAATCTGGCTTTAAATAAGCTGCAAAAATTTGGTAAACCGTAAAAAATTATTAACTCAATCAAAACCATATCTATGAGGATATATTATCTTAATTTTCCGGGTGAAATTTATAGAAACGTCAACTTGAGATAAAATGTATTTTTAGGATGGAGAGTATTTTTGATAGAGACATTGACAAAATATATCGCAGTCTGAATCATTTTAAAGTTTACAAATTGGTTGCATTTCTAAAAGTGGTTAATCTATAATTTTAATAAAAATTAAAGATAAATCGACACCGTCGACACCTTAATTAGTGAATATTTTTTACTCATTTGTAAGAAAGTAAATCATAAAGATTATTTTTTTATTTAAGTAAAAAATATTCGCTAATTAAGGATGTAAACCTTAATAAATTAGTTTTATTCGGTTATAAAAAAAAAGTTGTATTTTTCTGGTGCTGTGTTGTCTTAGTCCTCTGTTGTCTCGGCGATCACTTAGCAGTGTTGAGTCGGCAGTGTTGATTTGTCGTTTCTGGTAAATTTTATACAGACGTGGACCAAACATACATAAACTTTTATGAATGCAAAATAAAAAACCGGTAAAAGATTCTAAAAAAAAAAATGTAGGTAGTCTTTAATAAGGAACTTTCAGATTATTTAGCTGACGAGTTCATTCCTATTTTCTGTTTGCACACACACACACACACACATATATATATATATATATATATATATATATATATATATATATATATAGAGAGAGAGAGAGAGAGAGAAATAGACATAGAGAGAGATAATATATTTATATATCTATTTTATAGATGTCTGATGATATATGGAAAATTAATATGAATATGCGCACAGATTGTAGATTACTAAACAGATACACGGATCAATGAAAGAAAATAATTCAGGAAAAAAACAAAACAATAAACAATTCTTGGAATGAAAGATATGGCAAAAAAAAACCTTCGAAATTTGCCCGACTCCCGAATTGTTATCTATTCCTATTGCACAGGCGGTCGTTTTTGCTTCGGCTCCACCGTCGAAAGGCAAGTGCGAGATTGGCCAGGGTTTGGTGAATTCGTGGCATCCATTCAGGATTTAGACACCTAAGAGATTTCGCGAACAAATAACACGTGCAGAAATGGAAATCTGTGTCAGAATCAATAAGAGGAACACGGAAATATCAATAAGCGTGGCAAGTGAGCTGAAGGCGAACAGAAAATACAACCTTAATTATACAAGATGCTATTAATACACACAAGAATGACCTTAATATCTATCTATGTTCATCTTCTATTTAGCTATATATCTACGTCATTATATGTATATCTATGTAAATATTTGTTCATGTTCTATCTATCTATTTATCTATGTATGTTCATCTTCTAATTATCTATATATCTAAGTCTTTTTATATCTATCTGTCTATGTATCTTCATCTGTTCATGTTCTATCTATCTATCTATCAGCTTGTCTTTTTATATCTATATATCTGTCTATCTCTGTCTACACTCTTCAAATATCTATCCATCTATGTTCTTCTATTTATCTATATATCTAAGTCTTTTTATATCTATCTATCACTCTCTCTCTCTCTATATATATATATATATATATATATATATATATATAATTATTTATTTGAAAATATGATTCCAACGCTACATAAGAGTTCTCATGTTTCAAAACAAGAGCAGAAAACTTCAATATAATTATTTGAATAATTGTCATTTTGTAATAACTAATCTGTTCCATCTTCAAGCGAAATTTTTTTGTAATAACTAATTCTTTAAATTTACGCGTTTTATAAGCATACTGAATATTAAAATTACTATGGTAACGGCTAGAGCAATTATTTAAAAAAAAGGGGACGTAAGGGTTAATAATTTGTATGAATATCTCAGTTACATTCACAGATGTCAAGTCAGGGTAAGGTTGGGGTTTCTAAATTCAAAGCGGAAGATGATATCGTCTAGTCTGGTTAAGTGTCTATGGAGATTTATTTATTTTTTTTTTTTTTTCCCTGAAAGGGTTTTGGGTATATAAAAAAAACTGTCATAATTCGCTAACATTTGTATTTTGACGACTTTATAAAGGATTTTTTTTATGAATATGGCAATGAAGATGAGGATAACAGTTCGAATAATGTAAATAATGCAAGTAATCTTAATACCTCATCTCAGAGAAATAGAGGCTAAAACGTTGTGAATATGGTAATGAAGATGAGGATAACAGTTCGAATAATGTAAATAATGCAAGTAAACCTAATACCTCATCTCAGATATATAGATAGATATTATTTTCTTGTTCTTCCTTTTTTTGTATGAGCTGAAAACTACATCGATCGAAAAGCGTAATTTTTTCCCTGAAACTATTTTAGGGGACATTATTTTCGATTGATCCCTTGCGGATATGTACGCGGGTTTTCTTCTCTCTGCTCCCTTCGGTTATTTAATATTAACAAAAATAGCTTACCGAGGTGGCAAAAAAAAAAAAGAAAAAAAAAAGAGAAGAAAAACGTGCCTTCGATATTTTCAGATTTCTCCTCACCCCCACTGGAGATCTCTCATGTTTTGTCCCAACGTCGTTTTACTTTCCAAATCTGTCTCTGGAATTTTTTTGTTTTTCGTTATCTCCATTAACTGAGTTAAATTGGTCTTCTCGTTGATCTTGGCCACTACGATTTTAACATCGGGAAAAGCCAGATTGGCTTGGTGCCAAATCTTCACTGTATGGCGATGAGTTAAGAGCCGACGTTCATTTGATGGCTTCCTAAAACTGGTTATGTGATGAATCTATTGGCTTTGCCCATTATATATATATATATATATATATATATATATATATATATATATATATATATATATATATTGATACATGTTTCATTAATTAATATATACAAGTTTCCTCTATTTATTTTAAGTAAATTGTTTCATATTGTCTGATAGGCTTAATAACATTATCATTGAAAGATGAAAGAAAATCACCACATTGATACATGTTTTTTTTAATCCTATCTAACCTTTCGTCTTACATTAAATTTCAATATATTAAACAATACACGGACAAAACAATAATGATAGACTGTTTTTGTTGCATGAAAGGTGTTGGGGCCACCCACCTTCTCATCAGAATGGACTAATCTCTCTACTAGGAATAGGACAGTTCTATAGAGTTCTGGGAAGATCAGGTGACCATCACACTTCCGTCTCTCTACCGGAAGATACAGTTGGACTTTATACTCTTTCTGGTTGTTACTGACTAACCTGCGTTCGTTTGACTACTAATCTCTCTGTCG